AAAGAACCCAAACTAAAAGCTGCTGCCAGGATTGTCCCAGAATGGGTGGAATATGATACTGAGATACGACAACTGTTAGAGCACCTTGAAAACAAGAAGAAAAATGCAAGTAAGTTATCATTCTACAGAGGCGTATGAACCATGTGTTGCATTAAGTGAGATTAGGATAGACTATGAACCGTATTTTGCATTAAGTGAAATTAGAATAGATTACAAACTTATTTCTTAGTGAAGCTGTCAAATGATTAAGTCATAATTTCTTTAAGAAAGTCTGTGACATGATTAAGAATATCATTTTTAGGTGGAAGAAGCTCAGAAACTTAAAGCACGGATAGAAAAACCTCTGCCCCCATGGCTATAGCTTCAGTCATATCACCACCACATAGATGAGTAATATAGAAGTAGCCTCCTGACACAAGACAGAGGTGAAAACTAAAAGTAAAAAAAAAAAGCTTGTCTTTAAGATCACACTTAACTAGAAATAGTACCTCCTGTCTCTTAAATTTACTCTCATAGATAATATAGGTTTTGCCATGTGTTCCTGATTCTAGTAGGCTTACTCATGGGCTGGAGGGTGACTTGGATTAGATTTACTTACATTGCTTAGATTTGAAAGAACTGTGGTTACCTGGGCATTTCTTCACCCTTCATAAACGTTCAACAAATATGTGCTGAATGTTTTTTCAAAGCTGACACAAACTTCTTGGCTGCCTCATAGCCCCCTTTCCTCATCAGTGCCTGTCTCCCTATTGTGCTTTACACTTTTTCAAAAATAGCACTGAGCTTCTGTTGTTTCAATCACTATATTAGAGACTTGCACAGGCTGTTTGTTAAGCCTCACAATTCTTTCCAGTAGTTCAGAATATATTTTTTAGTTTCCTCAGCTTTATTGTTTAGACAAGTGGAAGTAATTACATATAAACTTTCCCCTGTAAGCATGAAATTGTGTTTCATCTTGACTTCATGTTTTCCTTAACAAAACCAATATGGTGTTGTCTGAGAAGTTCTATATTTAAAACACACCCATGTGTGGGTTTATTTCTGGGCTGTCTGTCCTGTTCCGTTTATCTGTGTGTCTGTTTTTATGCCAGTACTACTCTGTTTTGATTACTGTAGCTTTGTAATATAGTTTGAAATCAGGAAGCTTGATACCTCCAGCTTTGTTTTTCTTTCTTAAGTTTGCTTTGGCTATGCGGGGTCTTTTTGGTTCTATACAAATTTTAGGATCCTTGGCTCTTTACATTTAAGAATGAAAGATTAGATTGATAACTACAAATAGGCTTCCCTGCCATGGTATAAATATCTGTTTCTCCAATAGGCTTCTCCTCTGAACGGGAGGGTTAACTGGTAGTTCTAGGTACATTCGCATGGGACAGAACTGGCAGCTTCCCTCTAGCTGTAGGGACATGGAATAGACCAGAGCTTGTCCTACACACCACCCTACCCAGAAGCCAAGATGAGGGCACTTTACGCGAGAGCAGCAGCACCCTTGCAAAAATATGTCTGTCTCTTCCTCTCCCGTCCCTGTCTCTTTCCCCCTCAATGGATTGTTCAGTTTGTTTTCAAGAATCGTCTTCTGCATGTTCTCTTGGAATAAATAGGTTGTCAGATTCTCTCTGGGATGAGGTAGAAAGAATGAGATGGGTGAACTGACAGGTACCGATTTTCCAAAGTCCTTCAGCTAATTGCTTCACTGTCTGACTCACTCCCCAGCAGTGTTTTCTGTTGGGAGGCTTTTCCAGCCTCCTCGGGGAGGAATACCAACTCATCATCTCAGCTGTGTATTTCTCTATTCAGCGGTATATGCTGTTTTCCATTTTTAGAAATTCATTGATAACTCTGTTCCAATGATGTCTCATAACCACTTACCCCATTATCATTATTGTTATTCCCTTTTATATTTCTTTATTATCTTTCAAGTGGAATTTAGTGAACAGAGAAACATAGCCTGCCATCTTGTAATATAACCAGGAAGCACTTAAGTTGTATTTGAATCCATTTCTACCTGAAAATACCATTTTGAATTCTCAGTGCTCTTAAATCAGTTAGTATGTGACAGCTCAATGGTGCAAAGGAAAAGAAACCATTTTTGAATCTAAGAGTCTTCACTAGCACTGCTTCTCACTTATGCAGTACCTATGTCTGTGTTGGAACGCTCTCTCCTCCCGTCATACAAGAGGACCATGTATGTCTTTTGCTCTTTGTTGTTCCATTACATTAACGATAAGATGCTTTGTGCATGGTGAGTATTCTATTAGTATTTTGCAAGGCCTCCATTGCCAGGCAGGTTGCTAGGTCCTAGAGATAACAAAGATAAATAAGGTATGGTCCTTGTCCTAAGACTCATGGGAGCGCACTTCTAAGTGGATAAAAAGGCAAATCGTTATGATACAATATAATAGATACCATCATGTACAAAGAGCTATGCTCATGTCACATAGTGAAGCAAACAGGTACTAAACAAACAAAAGGACCCTCAGCACCTGTGCTTTTTCTATATCCCACACATTAGTAGGATTTAAGCTAATTTGATATTTAAGATTTTAAGAACTAAAGAAACTTTCCTCCCCTACAGTTTTGACACATGATGAACTCTAGCACTGGACTTTATAAGAAGATAAAAATGACAAGAAATCTGCCACCTGCTGGGGAAGTGTGGAACTACTACTAAGACTTTTGGAAGTTTCATTCAAGATCAGTGGAATATTCTTCAATTTAAAAAATATTATTTAAAAATACATGTACCTAATGTATTGAATGAGTTTAAGTTATATAATAAATGACCACTGAGTATTTAAAACTAGATTTTTCATTTTTCCTGATAGCTTAAAACACTGGGTTTTCACCAGTGAAAGATATTTTGCCAGGAAACCCAAAAGGAGAACATATCTTTGTGTATTCCACCTCTGTGTGCATCCACATTTTCTTATTCACAAAATGCATTTAAAATTAGAGAAGTGTATTTTGTTGTTTCTTCTGAGAAAGA